TGCTCTACCAACCATTTGCCATTTGAACATTTGCATCACTGAGCAAATTTGCACTGATGCCTTTGTGAGCAGATCTAAGAATAATTCATGCGTGTGAGTCCATTTCCCCTCGAATAATTTATGCCCCTCCGATTCCCAGTTACACACCACCAAGTCCGAAAAAATAAAAGCCTCTAGTTCAGAGAGGTGGCCCTTTCCAGCCCCAAGGCCTGCACCTAGACCAATTAAGTGCCCTCCTCTCCAGCCGCCCTTTTGACACAAACGGGGTGGCCTCCCTCCGCCTTCAGCACCCATGTGTCACCCCAACCACAACAACGACTGTTTCCCTCGAACGGATGACGCGAATTAGCATGGAGCGGCCATTTTGAAACGCAAAAGGGTCAAAATGAATGGGAAAATTGATAACTTCTTAAAAAGTAACGAGACGAGTGTGTGCGAATAGGAATTGATCATGAAATGCTACGTCTCCTCGAAAATACAAGATGAAAAAAAAATGATTGATTTCTTCTATTATGTCCGTTCTATTATTTACAAGAGAAGTTTATGTGAGTGTGCCGGAATAGGGATAATTCCGTCTTCTTTCAAACTGGAAAACGGATTTCTTGAGAGCACGTGCACTGAAATTCTTTTATGCACAAAATTGAGTTTTTGATATTATATTTGGGGAAGGTTTGGTGCAAGCGTTGCTTGTAAACATTTTTGAAACTTACATCAATAAAGAGTTAAAAGTCGATTTCAGTGTCATGCTTTGGTTACAATAATTTAAAATGGGATTAAACTCTCAACAAACTTGGGTTTTCTTGGTCTGTCAAGAATTACAATTTAGTATATTTTTGTATTAAATTGTATAAATCCTATTTTTAACATTAATAGTTAATTACTTTGAAAATATTCAATTTACAAAAGAAAGCTTTTAGATAATAAATGAAATCAACTCAAAATTTTTTGTTTTATTTTGAACTCTGCATTTAGATGTCTACTTTATACTACTTTATATGGGTTATTGCTTTTGCGTTTCTTTTAATGCAATGATTTTTTTAACCTGTGTTTCATGGAGGTCTGGAGGCAAAGATTTCAACAACCGATTATGACAAAACAAAAAGAAGAAAATTAGCAAATCTGAATTAACGCATTAAATTAAAACTTTAAAAAAACATTTCTAAAAATGGCATTAATGAGTCCGCAAGAAACAATAATTTTTGTCATTACAGGTTTGCCCCGAGTAAAAAATTATGTAACGTAATTTACGTACTTAAGTCTATATTGTAATAATCTTGTAAGTATGTACTACGTTATTGTGCTGTTGCTGTTACTCCAATTTCAGTGACAGTAAAAACCAAAATAACACTATATTGGTACTGATGAATACATTATGATGTAAGTGGAAAGGATTTTTTAATTTTATGACAACTTTTGTTTATTTTACTTTTTGTCAATTAGATACATATTTTAGGTGTGTGGCTTTGTATACTTTACAGATAATTTTATTGAAATTTTAAAAGTTAGTGTAATTGATCATGATAATTTTAATAACAATCTATTTATATGGCAAACTAACTTAATAATTGTGATTACTGATTATTCTTCTCCTTATTTTTAAACGCTTTATAAATTACTGTTTGATAAAAATTAGGGTTGAGTTGAAACTAAGAGAATTTTCTTTTCAATCTAAATGTGAATTTTTTGTATAATATGTACAAATATTTTAACAAATATTTAACTTGCCTTTTCCGAATGTTTATAGATTTTGAGATACAGAGGGTTTTATTCGTCGAATAAATGTAAATTTGGGGCACAGCTTTAAATTTTACCACCTCAAATTATGAATATGAATAGAATAGAAAGAATATGATCTCTGAGGTTAGCTCTCCAAATTCTATTATATTGTTTAAAAAAACTTGGGTTAAAATTATCAAAAATAGGCACACAAAAAGTGTCCTCATATAAAAAAATCATAAAACGGTAAAAATTTTGAATCAATTTTTTTTGTTGAAAATATTACCCAATTTCACTAGGTCAAATGTTATCAATTACTAGCAATGTAAACTTGGGAATAAAATACTCAAAAGGTTCAAACTTCGTTTATATTGCATTTTTTTGAGAATTTTTCCGACGCCAAAGTGGAGGTTATACAAGGTGCGCCAGAACTCGCGCCCCAGAGAAAAATGTCAAATGCCGGAGGCAATAGGTCGCCAAAAAGTGGAGCCGAAGAAGTAATTTTTGCTTGCATAAGAAAGTTATTAGACTCTTAAATCCACCAATTCCAGAAGGGCACCTCAAGGTGTGACTGAAAAATTATATCCGTTGCTAGGTTACGAAAATAACACCAATTTGGCCAGAATTTAAAAAAATAGCTGGTCTACTGTAATTTTGCGTTTGACATTTATCGTGATGTGGGTGACATAACTTGCTAGTTTCCAGTATTTTTCTCGCTGAAGAGATTGTACACGAGTATAATGAGACAGAATCGTTAATTATTATCAACAAATATTGAAACATTGTGGAAATTCCTGATGAACTGCGACTTCTCTAAAACTTCTTCACAGGTATTGTTCCTTCTCAACTTTTTCTTCGATCTGATACAGATTAACAAACCGATAAATGAATTTTAGAGCTTGAAAACTAGTGTATTATCCTTATGAAACAAAGAAGCAAGTGAGAGTGAGAGACCAGAAAAACATTTACTTTAATGCAAAATTAACAGGAAAATGTACTTTTTATAAGAAATTGTGCTTAAATAAAACAGGTTACTGATTTTAATATCAAAATTGTAGTTTTACTCTCGTATTTAGTAGAAATTCTAACCTCAAAATTTCAACAACAATTTATTGTTGTTTTCTTCCACTCACATGAGCCTACTATAACCCCTTGGCTGTTTTCTCATTAAAAAATCCAGAAGAATGTTGCGATGTTTGTATTTAGTACGAAAAGTTAGCATTTTTGCTAATGTTTTAATTCCGAGGGCATTTCAGCAACGCTTTTCGGTGAATTTGTGGGCTGGTCTTCTGGGGAATCATGTGGTCTGTCAATAATATCAACTAATTTCAACATAACGTGACTCCCTTTCTAAAAAGTACATTTTTCTGTTAATTTTGCATTAAAGTAAATAAAGAAACTTGCGTTACTTCTTCATGTTTTTCTGGTCTCACTCTCACTTGCTTCTTTGTTTCATAAAGATAACGCACTAGTTTTCAAGCTCTAAAATTCATTTATCGGTTTGTTAATCTGTATCAGATCGAAGAAAAAGTTGAGAAGGAACAATACCTGTGAAGAAGTTTTAGAGAAGTCGGTTCATCAGGAGTTCCCCGAATGTTTCAAAATAATTTTTGATAATTGTTGATAATAATTAACGATTCTGTCTCATTATACACGTGTACAACCTCTTCAGCGAGAAAAATACTGGAAACTAGCAAGTTATGACACCCACATCGCGATAAATGTCAAACGCAAAATAACAGTAGACCAGCTATTTTTTAAAATTCTGGCCAAATTGGTATTATTTTCGTAACCTAGCAACCGATATAATTTTTCAATCACGCCTTGAGGTGCCCTTCTGGGATTGGTGGATTTAAGAGTCGAATAACTTTCTTATGCAAGCAAAAATTACTTCTTCGGCTGCACTTTTTGTCAACCTATTGCCGCCGGCATTTGACATTTTTCTCTGGGGCGCGAGTTCTGGCGCACCTGTATATTTCAGAAACTATAAACATTCGGATAAGGCAAAATTAGTTATTTTGAGTTCTTTTGGTTCTACTATCACAGGTTAAAATATTTGCACATACCTTAAAATCACCTAGTATAAAAAATGTACTTTGATCATTTAACTGCACATTTGATTCTATTTATTCTTATTTATTGTTCCTAAAGATGTTTTTTCATATTTATCTTTACGCAAAAAGCACAAAAACAGTGACAACGTAAACTATAAATTAATAACGTTAAGCATAGTTAAATACAGGTTCTTTGTTTATTTTTCGAACTGCTTCAAACAAATAAATAACATTACTTATTTTAGCAACTAAATTAAAAAGGATCAAACGTTCAAGCTTTAAATCCCGTTATTACAATATTATTATAGTTAGAAGTTTTTAAGTTGTAACATGCTAGCTGTAAATTGAATGTTATTAATGTATCGTATCATTAAACTGACCCATGAATTTTGGAACAAGCTGTATAATTTAGTCATACAATGTTTTTATTGTTGCTTTTCAATATTTTTGCTCCGGTCTCGTAAAATCCCGGTAGGGAAGATATTTTCAAGATCCAAATGCCTAATCTTTTTGCACTTAGGCGACTATATCTTTTACATATCTTCTCTCTTTTCATCAGTGTTACCTTGTTTTTGAAATAATTTATAAGTAAGAGAAAATTTGTCAAGCTGGGAAGTTGTGCTCTTATTATTGAAATCTGGGTCATTTTGGGTTATTTGACAATGTTGCTATTTTAAATTTTAAATTTAAAAACTTTAAATTTGAAACTCGATTTTAAAGTAATAAAGTACGTGTAAATTCTAATTTCAGTTTAGTTTAATATTTCTGGAAACAAATAAATGATATTCAAAATTCTAAGAACTCAATAAATCTTGCAACTTTAGTTTAATTTTTATTTAGTATTATTTTAATTTAATAATTTTATTATTTCATTTATTTTATAATTTTAATAATTTGAATTTATTGCTTACTATTCCTTGCTGAATCATTCTGTCTTTAATTTAGAAAAGTTTTTTAAGTTATTGACACAAATTTTTGAAAGCGAACATTAAAAATCCTCGTCGAACTCGGATTATAACGATTCTTTTAGTCTTTTTAAAAGTTTGAATAACAATGACGTAGGATTGGCGATTCATCATGCCCGTTTCCAGATTTTGCGAAATCAGATTTATTGTTCGTCAAACATGGAAAAATTTCAAATTGCACCGTTCCATCATTCGGATTGATAGCTTAACAATGGTGAAATCATCGAGGGTCACGAAATCGTAAGAATTAAACGATCGCTTGATAAAATCGCATTTGTGTCACTTTATTAAAATAGTTTCTCTTTCACAAAATTTACAAAAATATACAAAAACTATTTACATCACAGTCGAATTCAGAACCCGTACATGGAGGGCACGTAGGGATAAGTCGCAGAGGCCCAGGCGTCGAACGGGAGCATAACGGGCACGGCGTAGACCCCTCTCGGCTGGAAATGCGTCCTCGAGTGCTTCTTAAGGTGGTCCTTTCTCCCGAATCGCTTACCACAATGGGTACAAGGAAAAGGACGAAGTCCGCTGTGTATCCTTTTGTGTCTCGTCAATTCCTCGTTTCTCGTAAAAGTCTTCCCGCAATCCTTCTCGTCGCATTTGAAAGGGCGTTCGCCTAAACAAAAATTTTTGTTAAATCGTTTGCTTAACACGACTAAGGCTAACCTGTGTGTATCCTGATATGTCCTTTCAGTTGGCCATTATTAGAAAATCCGACGTCGCAATGCGGACACTTGTATTTCTTTGGTCGTTGTTTACGAGCATTCAGGATTTTTACTTGGTGTTCTTGATTTAAAACTCTGGCGTACTCCTCTAAAGCGTATCCAGTGGCGAGGGTTTCCAAAAGCGCGGGGTCGTTGTAAGAAGGTAAAAAATGACTAGGATCGACTGGCCGAAATCCCGATTTTTCCTGTTTTAATTGCGAGGACGATGAGGAGGATTCTTGATAGGTATCCCATGGTCTGAATATTTTAGGACACTTAGTGTTGGTTTCGTTATTGCAGGAAGGGCACATCTCGACACTTAAGGACACTTGAGACACAATTGCTAACTAAACAAAATTTAAATGAACAAGGGTATATAAGTTAAAGGGGCAGGACTTGGCAAGTGGGGGTACGTCGAGGATCTGCAACAATAACTTGTAACCCCTGGCTTTGTGTTTATTGAATGAAATGTATCGTTTGGACGACTTTCGACCGTATTGAGGGATGGTATTGTTGTAGGGCGGCTTGAAGGGTGACTTTATGGGATTTATGTTGAAAGGTAAGTGCTACCATTTTGCACGGTTGTCTCGTTAATCCGACCCATTTGTGGTAGGATTTTGTTGTAATTTTGTCTCAGGTAATCACAGATGACAACTCTATATACACCCTTTTCTTCGTTGACGCGACGTAAATCTACCCATTTTAAATTTAATTTGGAACAGTGGAAGTGCTTACGAATCTTGTGACATTTTTGATCGATTGGAAATAAATTTCACTCAAATTCGTTGACGGATTTTAAAATTGGGCACGTTGAAAGAGTTAAACCGATTCATCACAATTAGTCGGAAGTTTTGTCAAAACAACGAGATACATACTTATATAACTGGATGATATTGACGTCAACAGAGTCAGGATGCTGGATGCCGAAGGTATAAAAACGTGTTATTACAGTTATAAATTGAAAATTTTATTGCATGCAGAGATGCTTTATTTAGAGAAAGATTCACAGTAAATATTTCTTTTATTTTTTCTTCTTTTATGCCCTTCAATGCACATAAGAGTTTGACACAATGAAGTTGGAAATTTCTGAATAAAAGGTTGAAAACAGTAACACATTTAATAAACGCCTATTGTCTACTTTAGTTTGGAGAACCTAATTATAGATTCAATAATATTGATGGGTTTCTGTATGTAATTATTGTTAACAAAAAAGAAACTTCAAATTGTATAAGCAATCATTTTTTATCAGTCGGTTATTTATTGAATAGGTTTATTTAATTAAAGTACTCAAATATTTAACCCTTAAAAAATATTACATACATATATAAAAAAAATATTTATATTTATGGTAAAAACCTAGGATTATTTTCCTTTCTTATACAGGGTGCGCTAGAACTCGCGCCTCAGAGCAAAATGCCATATAAAGTAAGATACCAGGAACACGGAAAAAATATTTAAAAAATTTTATCTATAAAAATTTCGAAGTTATGAGAGTTTAAACTTTGCACTTTAACTCTATTTATTTCTGTTGGTAAAATAGTTTTCCAAATTTTTTTGCTATAGGCTATTATAAAGTCAAAGTCAAAATTTTTTGACAAATAGAATTTTTTAAACATTTTTTCCATGTTCCTGGTATCTTATCTTACTTAAAATTTTTCTCTGGGGCGCGAGTTCTTGCGCACCCTGTATTTTATTTATTAAGTTTCTTATTATTATTATTATTATGAAATTATAAATCGCGGAGGATGTCCTATTTTTGCGATTTAGTACAAAGTTGAAAATTCGCTTTTCAAAATATTTGTGTCAAATAAGTATAAGTCGTATTTGTAAGTATATTAATGTAAAAATAATTTTAACAGATTATTTGTTAAAATTATCGTATTTTTTTTAAAAGAAATACAGATTTTCAGTCTCAACAATTTGGTTGCTTAATTTGTTCCACTTATCAAAACTTCTGTTTGTTAAAAAGTGTTGGCGCATAGTGGTTTTAAATGCCTCTTTTTGTATTTTAAATTTATTTCCTCGAAGTCTTATGTTTAAAAACTTAAACTTTATTTAAGCACGTATTTTTTTTATTAAAGTTTTGTTAAAGAATAACTTTAATTCACATCATTTATCGTCTTTAAATTTCGCAGAATAGTGGTTACCAACCTTAAACTTCAATTTGAATTGACTACTAAAGACAAATTTAAAAAAAAAATGCTTTATTATAACTTAAATGTTTTGTGTATAGGGTGATTTTTGTAGGCCCTACATTAGAAACTTTTAAAATTTTGCACGCAACCAAAAGATGACATTTTACTAAAATTTTCAAAATGGCGGAACTTCCAAAACTACGAGAAATTGGCGCCAAGTTTTATATTTTAAATGGTAGTCACTTATTTTTATAGCAATTTTGAATTTGCTTTCTTAAACCGAGCAAAACCTACCTAAGTTGTTGATACTTATTTGTTATAGTTTTTGGTATATTTTTTTGCCGAAATTTTTATTTGCAAAAAGTCACAGCTCTAAATATTTGAGATAAATAATATTTATTTTTGCATTTCGTAATAAAAGGTTCTAAGAATTTTCTAATTCAGTTTAAGATTATCAACAATCAAATTTCAAGGCTAATATGCTTTTTAAAAATGGTTATTAAAAAATTGCCATAATTCGTTTTTTTTTCAAACAGTATGAGCCTATTTTATTTATGGCAATCGAAAGAACAGTAATTGCAGTGATTTTTAGTTATGTTTCAACAATTTAACCGGTAAATTGTGTTTGACCAATGAGAGCAATTTGATAATTTTGTTACATTATGTGCAATTGTAGGTAGTAAACGGAATAAATCATCGAAAAACTTAAGTTTACCCATCCCTAGTTGCCTTCAACATGAAATATCCTGGCATTGACCATTTTCCAACGCCTATGTAAAATCACTGTTGTAGTAAGGAAAAAAATATGTTTGACTAAAAGAGCCAAATTTTTTTGGGGTTGGTTATTACATTTTCGGTTAAAATGGGCTAAAATATTAAAATTTAGTTGCCAACACTAAATAATGTAAAGATAGAAGATAAATATATTAATATAAACAGAAATCCCGGATGACTATTAATGTTTGTGACAAAAAGTCTATTGACAAAATTGAATTATTGGTAATCCCCTTAATTTGTTATATCAGAATATTTCAGGTGACAGCTAAATCAGTAGTCGCACCTCACAAATGAATGAGAATTGCCTATAAAAGTTTAACGTTTGAATTTGAAAATTAAGGTTGCAAAAACTAAAATTTTAAATTTGACACCAACTCGAGGTAAAAAATCATAATCATTACATAGTAATCAATAACAGCTTCATAAATTTAAGCCTTTATATTTTATACAATGTTCAAATTATCCAGTAATCCGACAAAATTAAGAAAATGAACAATAACATCAATACTAATAAATATCTATAAAAAGTTTGCTTTTCGACCATATAGAAGTGCAAACTTAATTATAGAATCACAGCACGCTTTAACTGTCATAGTTTAATATGTGAAGTGCTTGTTTAATACTTTATTTTTCAGCGATAAAATTAACTTTAAGTTTTGTTTTAATGCAATTATTTTTGGTGACTTCAATTTTTAAGATAAGATCATTTTGTCGGTAAATAACCAACGCTTGTCTCTTTTAATTAAAATTTAAAAGGAAAGCAATAAAAACTTCCTATATTCTGAATGTAAAGTCATTAATAAGTATAGATTATTGTTAAAAATGTTAGCTTATTCTATAAAATTAATAATAATAAAATTGGTAGCTGTGCTTTTTTACAGCCCATTGAGTAAAGTCCTGCATAAATAACTCAACGTTTTAATATACGGAGATTTTACGGTGCACGCCCTCGCCACTGTTGGACAATCGTGGGTCTACACCTGTACCCGAAAAAATCCCATTCATCGCGTGAGAACTGACGCAATTCGTCTTTGTCCTCTTTAGTCCAGCTCAATTGAACTTATAAAATCTACCCTTGTGGATTTTTAGCGATTTTTTCAAGCATTTGATTTTTTTTCTTCTCCATCAACGTCATTGATCGTCGAACAATTAAAAGTATTCTGAAACGGAATCGATTTTTTATTTGGGGCGTACACGTATCCATCACGAAAACGTTGAGCATTTACAGCCTGCAATCATAGACATATCCTGTCGTTCTGGTCGGATTTATGCGCTTTTTATTCACTTGGAGTTTATTCTTCTTCTATTCAGCGAATTTAGTTGATGTGCGAAACGTGTCCTTCATTCACGGTAAGGACTGTCCACTTTATAACAGCGTGGGTGGTAATTTATGTGATTTGTTGACCACGGCTAACAGCAATCCTATTATTTTCCTTAGAAAAGGTTCTTTGATGCAACGGGATTTATGAGTTACGAATTCCAAGCTCTAATTATGTTAACTCGGACTCACGTTTCGCTTGTTCTAACTCGATTTAGAGGCCAACTCGAGAAAATTCGGTAAGAAACCAATCACATTAATCTCACCAGACAGAGTTATTGTTACGTAAACTGATGGTCTAAAAGCCCATTCAGGATGTACAAATAATTTTATTTCATTGCGCTTTGCCAACTTTCGACATATTCATTCTGAAAAGGTAAAGACCTCCCGTCGAGAGGATCATCGGATGTTTTGACAATTCTCGTTCACTACGGAAGTTAGAAACGAAATTATTGTCAACACCCCGGCACCCGACTGCGTCCTAATCACCTAAGGACAATTCCTCCGATGGCCGTTAGGCCGGACATTCATTACAATCGATTGAAACTTCCACCAATGACCCTTGTTTTGATTTATTTTCGAAACAAGAATATGCCCTAAAATCGACACCACAAGGAAGCTTTTAATTTTTTTGTAACACAAAAATTACCTAAAACACCAAGTGTTGTATGCTGGATTAATTGAATACAGGTAAGGTACATAGGCATATCGGATAAAAGATATGTGATGTGATATGTGACACAAAAATTCAGATACATGATTTTTGAATACAACTAATTTAAATTACTTATATTGTTTGTATGAGTATAATTTTTAAGTACCTACCTATCAATTATTCTTAATGATAAAATAAATATACAAGGTCGTTAAAAATTATGGATAAAACTAAACATTTTAATAGTATATTATATTACACGTTGTTGTTATCACAGCCTCATTAAGAAATATGTTAATATCCCGCTTGGGCATTTCGTAAAAAATGCATTGTAGCAGTGATTCCGATTTTTTCTTAGTTACTGGTGTTACTAAGGAAAAACTAATGATTTTTAAGTATTAACGAAAAATAACGCAATCAATAATTAATAAAAGCTGGGAAGGAATGATACAACAAAACCAGATACGCCAAGGAGAATTGATATTATGAGGTTGCACCGTTTAAGTTAAAAAACTGGATGTGTCAAAAAATTTCCCCAGTTTAAAGCGCCAACAGGAATCAATTGAACTCTGGTATGAAGAATCAAGGCCATCTGAATCAAAAAGCTATAAGGCCGTTTCATTCTCCATGATAACTGTTTCTGCAGAGTGGCCATAAAAACAAAAAATTCAGAACCTTATTGTGCGCCCTCGGTGGCCGATTAACGAATAAACATTGGCGACAATTTAAAACAATGCCCTTCAATTTTACAAAATAATGGTATAAAATGGTAAAAACCGTGTTTCATTTGTGGGGCAAAAAATGTTCGATTATTTGAAATTCTGAGCAATATGCAACAAAGGCAAAAATGGTGCGAAATTTTTGAAACGTTTTGCGGTAAGCAATTTTATGCAGACAATGATAAAGACAACCTTTTACTTTGTTTTTGTAATTTTAAAGACACTACAAAAATTACGGATTACTCAACAAACAAACAAACCACTTTGCAGAAAAATATTGAAGTTATAAATTGTTCTAACCTACCTCGTGTTATGATTTCATGTTTTATTGTAATTCTAATTTATTAGTATTTTGCTAGTCCAGAATGTACCTAAAATAAGCTCGGATCTTGGATATTTTATAGCATTCATGTTTTAATTGATGTTTTAAGCACTTAACC